ATAATTCATCCTTAAAATTTTTTAAAAATTTGACAAAAAAATTGTTGCCCGGATACTTTTGACAGGTTGGTGTATATTCTTCCATTGAACCGTATTTAGTAACTCCTTTTGCCATTCTATTTTCTTCTATAAAACTAATTATATTTATTATCTTTTTTGAAATTTTTAACCATTTTAGAGCTAATTTTAGCATCTGTATATCGACTGAGTCAAAAGCTTTATTTATGTCTTGAAATAGTAACTAAAGTTTTTTTTTATACTCTCTTGTGTCTTCCATTATATTGTTAATAATGTGTATTGGAGATGAGGTCCTCTTTTCAGGCAACCCCACATAATTATTGTCACTTAGAATGTTGTTTGTCTTTAAGATATCTGATAATCTAATCATTAATATCTTTATAAATATTTTTTGTAATGTCTCCATCAGTATTATTGATCATGTTATCTCCAAATTTCCCTTCCATTCTTTTGACTTAGATATTAAAGCTATCTAACTCGATATCCAATCTATTAGTAATATTTTCTCTTTTAATATTTTATTAAATAATTTTTGTATTATTTGTATTTCCTCTTTTCCCAAGTGTCAGAATGTCTTGTAGAATATTAATGTTAGACCTGGGGCTTTATTGTTTACTGTTAATCTTATTGTCGAATTAATTTCCTTCACTGAGATTTTTAACATTAGCTCATTATAGATTTCTGAATTTATGTTTTCCATCAGTTTGTATACCTTTTTTCATCTTGATCCCAATTCATTTTAGTTAATACTTGTTCCACTCATCCATTCATATAAATGTTGTCTCACTTTCCTTTTTATTTCATTTGAACTAGTTGTGATAATGACTTCATTATTATTTCCTTTACTCATTGATCTATCTAATACTATTCTTCGTTGACTTCGTTCCAAAACACTATCTATCATATTTTATAATTTTATATCTAACTTTACTTGTCGTTTCACTATTTTTTCCTTAATTTCAGCTTGTTTTTATTTAATTATTTTTCGTTTTATTATTTTTCTTATAGTATTTCACATAGTTTTAACATTATTAATCTATATATTTAGTGTTTCTGTATTTATATCTTGTGTTAATAAATCTATATCTAACTCGTATTCATTTTTTATTTTAATGATAGTATCATTTACTTGTTGTATTTTTGTATTTATATCTATATTAATATTAATATTATTATTATTATTTAAATTTATCATTTTTTTGCATAATATTTTTAACCAATTTAATAGTTTTGATTTTAAATAATTATTCTATATTATATTGACTCTATTCTTTGGCTCTCTTGCTTTTGATAAATATTTAGTTCCCTCTTTTATTATCGTATCACTTATTGTTTCCCATAACTTATCTATTGATATATTCATATCATTATTTATTCTCTTTTGCTTAATTTCATCTTCTATTCTCCTGGTGAATTTTTTTCAGTTTTTTATGTTAGCTAGTTTTAAATTCTATAATTTTGATAACCTATAATTTAGTTTCTTGTATTTTTTGTATATATCTTATCCAATGTATTTGTTCACGTCAAAAACTAGACCTATACATGAATGATCACTTCTTGACTCTAAATCTGTTTCATAAATCTCGACTATTTCAATTTCATTACCATAAGCTAAATGTACCTATATCGAGTCTATCCTACTTGCACTTTTAATCTCACCTTCATGAGATTGATGAAAAGGATATTTCCTTTCTTCTGTATTACAGAATCGATATGTATCTATATATCCACTATAGATTATAAATTGTAATAATTTATTTTCTATTGTTGTTTGTGGTCATTGAGGATACCTATCTTGTGATGAATTCAGAACAGCATTCCAATTACCTATTAATATTGAGATCCTATTATTTAATAACGCTTGTCTCACGTAATTATATATCCATGATTAAAGTTGTTTCGATTTGTTTTTATCTGGAGAATTTTTGTTTGGAGTATATACTCCTATTATTTGAAAAACTATTTTTCTTTTAAATGTCAACAACAGACATATTCTATGATCCAAAAATTTATTTATTTTATATATATGTTTTGCAATGTGTAATTTAATCATATACTCCACTCCTGATCTGATATTATTGTTTCAGATATCTGGTGAAGAAGACTACTATACTTGATATTCTGGATTAGTACCATTATCTTCCCTTTATTTTTTATCATCAAAAATATATTCATCATATTTCTTTTGTATTTTAGTTTCAGTTGAAATACATATATCAATGTTGTTATCGATACAATATTCCTATCATGTATTTTGTTTTGTTTGTTTATTTATCTCTCTAATATTTTGAGAAATTATTTTTCATATTTTGTGTACTTGATTATTGTTGTAGTTATTATTTGTATCAATGTTACTATTATTATTATTATTGGTAGTATTATTATTATTATTATTTTTATTTTTATTATTATTATTCTTATTTTTCTTCTTTTTTTTTTTGTTTTTATTTTTATTTTTGTTATTATTAGTGTTATTATTATTATTAATATTATTATTATCAATATATATATTGATTAAAGAATTTTCTTGACTTTCATTATCTTCTGTTAATAAATTATTATTATTATTGTTATTATATGACAGTGATATATCTTCTATCATTATATGTTATTATATGGAGTATAATATAAAATATCTAATATCTAAATAATATTTTTAATATTTTTATTTGTATAATTATATTATTTTTTCTAATAATTATAATAAATTGAAATATTTAAAAAAATACAAAATTAATTATATCATTGTTACAATATAACTACAAGGTGACCAATTCTTTACAGAAAAGAAAAAGAATAATTCATTCACACTTAATAATAAATATTATAGAATGAACTATAATAATTTATTCTCGTACTTTCATACAGGATTATAATAAATATTATAGAATAAACTATAATAATTTATTTTCATACTTTCGTATGGAATTATAATAAATATTATAAAATAAACTATAATAATTTATTCTCATACTTTCATATGGGATTATAATAATTTATTCTTGTACTTTCGTACGGTATTATAGGAAGACTTGAAGTCTAGTTTAAACTATAATAATTTGTTTGTTTGTACTTTCATACAGGATTATAATAAATATTATAGAATAAACTATAATAATTTATTCTCGTACTTTCGTACAGTATTATAGGAAGACTTGAAGTCTAGTTTAAACTATAATAATTTATTTGTTTGTACTTTTGTACTTTTGTACTTATCGCACTTATTATAGAACTATAATAACTTGTTTTTTTGCACTTTGGTCAAGAAAAATTATATAAAGAGAGGTTTATATAGATATAATGCACTTGAAAAAAAAAGAAAAAAAAAAGTGTATAACTGTTTAATTCATAATGAAAAAAAATAATAGCTTTAAAAATAATATTGTTAGTTATTAGCTTGCTTGTCTGGATCTTAGCTACATTAAATATTATCTAATCACTGATTATTCAATCACGGATACACTATAAGAAAATTAAAAAATAACTATTGCCATTGTAATCTATTGAATAAAAAATAAATAAATTATTAGTCATTTATTCTTCATAAATTAAAAAATAAATAATAATTAACATTTAACCTTCCTCTCTATTTCAATTCACCTTGTTTTTTCTATTCACCTTTTTTAATCTTTTGTTCAACTTTTATTAGTTATTGGTCCTTCATCCTTGATTATTAGTCCTTTATCCTTTATCCTTGGTTATTAGTCATTTTCTTTATCCTTGATTATTAGTTCTTCATCTTTTATTACAAACTGAAAAATAAATAATAATTAACATTTAGCTTTCTTCTCTATTTTATTTCACCTTGCTTCCCCTTCTTCCATTTACCTCACTTCTCATTTATTTACTTCTTCACCTATAATTATAATTTCATTTAAATTTATTTAAATAAAATAAAATAAATAAATAAATTAAATTAAATAAATAAATTAAATTAAATCTTACTTTCTTCATTCACCTTGCTTCTTCTATTTATCTCACTTATCCACTTCTAATAAATAAAATAAATAAATAATTAAATTAAATTAAATTAAACCTCATTTCTTTATTTATCTTGCTTCTTCCATTTACCTCGCTTCTTATATTTATTGCTACTTCATTTTTAATTATAATTTTATCTAATTTTATTTCAAAAAAATAAATAAATAAATAAAATTAAAAATAAATAAATTAAATTAAACCTTACTTTTCCTATTTACCTTGCTTCTTCCATTCACCTTGCTTCTTCCCATTTATTTACTTTTTCACCTCTAATTGTAATTTTGTCTAAATTTATTTAAATAAAATAAATTAATAAATAAAATTAAAAATAAATAAATTAAATTAAACCTCGTTTCCTCTATTTATCTCACTTTTTCCATTTACTTTGTTTCTTTATTTATTCACTTCTTCACCTCTAATTATAATTTCATTTAAATAAAATAAATTAAATTAAATAAATGAATTAAATTAAACCTTACTTCACCTATTTACCCTGTTTTCCCATTCACTATGCTTCCAATTCATTTCACTAATTTCATTAATTTTGTTAATTTCATCTATTTAATAATGTTATGTCTATTATATACATGTTTCCAAAATTGATTTTGAATTTTTGAAGTATTTCAGCTTTTTGAGATTTATACAAAATCTATTCTATATATGGAAATAAAAAAAGTACCTAGTTATATGTGACTTTAATCAAAGAATAAATCTGGGTAGTTAAAAAATTTCGGGTTTTAAGTAAAATAATTCCGTCTTCTATGAAAAACTATTTCAACTTTTTTTCCTGAAATTGCAATTTCGGAACCCCAAAATAATTTTGCGTGCAAGTATAGTCTATTATACCTTTCGATTATTCTGCTTTTGTCTTTTTCTCTTTATTTAAATTATTCAAATTATTGTTATCAAAAATATTTTCTTCTTTCAATAAATTATTTTAATTGAAATTATTATTACCTAGGTCAGCCTCAACAATTTTGACGTTATCTGAAGTTAAATTCATGATATCTTGACAATGGATAAATACACTCTCTTTTTGTAGCTACGGCAGTTTATCGAGTTATTCAAATTATTATTATCAAAAATATTTTCTTCTTTCAATAAATTATTTAAATTGAAATTATTATTACTTAGGTTGGCCTCAACAATTTTGGCATTATCTGGAATTGGATTCATGATATCTTGGTGATGGATAGATACGATTTCTTCTCGCAACTGCAGTGGTTCATCGGTTTCTTGATGATCCTTAGGTACGATTTGAGTTTTCCAGTTATTTACTTCTAAATTTCTGGCTAAATTGGTTATTTCTATTATTAATCTTTCTGCCTCTGCTCCTAAACCAGTTGATTCTCGAGTTGATATTGAACTTTGTCATCTTCGTCGAGTCATATAATTAAAGGTAAAAATGTAGTGGATGGTTATATAGTTCCATGGAGTCTTGAAGGTCCTGCTACTACTTGTGGGGTAACTTGTGATGGTGTTCGTTGGGTGGGCTAATTAGGAGAAAAGAGTATTAGGTATAGAGATGGTGAGCTTTGGAATTGCGATTGGTGATTTTGGGATTTTTAAGCTTATAGATTAGAGATAATCAATATAGATCAGAGATAATCAATTTATCTACAATAAATTATGTCACATCTTCGATAACTGTTAAATAATTATGAGCTTTAAATTTATTTTCAATAAAATAAGTTCACATATACATATTAAAGTGTGAAATAATCATAAGCTTTAAATTTATTTTTAATAAAATAAACTCGCACGTACATATTAAATTGTGAAATAATCATGAGCTTCAAATTTATTTTCAATAAAATAAACTCACGCACACATATTAAAATGTGAAATAATCATGAGCTTTAAATTTATTTTCAATAAAATAAACTCACGTACACATATTAAAGTGTAAAATAATCATGAGCT